GGTATTTTAAACAGGGGTTAAAACTCAAAGTTTAAAAACATTAAAGAATATAAGCAAGATTCATAAATTAGTATTAATATACATGCCTGATCATCTGCTTTTAGGTTAATTCTTTGCAGAACAGGACTCTTCCTCCTTTTTCCTTCCCTTTCTTCATTTTCTGCCAACTTTCTCTTCTCCAAAAGTGGTGGAGACAAGATCTTAAATTATAAGAGATGTTTGCCTCATTTTAAGAGCTTTTGAATAGTTGGAAAGCTTAGATTCATTTTGGATTAATAGACACATAGTGCTGTTTATAGTATAACTACATATGTTCCTGTTCCCAGCAACTTTTGGATAAATAACACAAAATAATTTTCATAACATGAGAACAGAGATAAATAATGTTTCTGGTGCTTGCCTCATCACCTTAAAGAATGATTGGTTTGCATTTACATTAGAGATTCCAAAATAATAAAAGACACAATTTACCAAATCCGCAGTATTAATTTGGTTATTAGAGGAGATTGTTTTTATGCATCAGACATGTATTTTTAACTTTTTGCTCATAGTTAGTTTTAAATACAAAAATAAAAACCACTAATACTTGCTGTAGAAACATCTGTTACAAAGGGCTAGTTAATTTTTTTTTTTTTTTTTTAGTTTTAACAGCTGTCATTTGTAGCAAATGAGAGTATTTGCCATGTACTTTGTCCCTGAGCATTTGTTTGCTTTCCCAGCTTTCTTCTTCTGAACAACTGGCTTTTCTGAATAGTACTGCCAAACTTTTAGAAGTCTCCTGTTGAGGTAAATGTACAAGTCTATGTATATGAACTGCTTTACAGCTTATATTTGCCTTTACTGTATGAAAAGGTCTTAGCAAATTTGAGGGTATACGGTGGATACATTGCATCCCTTTGGTGTCTAGAGTAGAAAACAAGCGTCCAAGGTCCAGAGATTTCTTTGTACAAGGGTATGTGTGCTTCACTAGACTGCAGTGTCACATGCAAATTCTCCCTTTCTCATGAGTTCTGCCTTTCACCGTAAGCAGAGGCTCATGTTCACCAGGAAGTATGGCCATAACGTTAAGGTTTCAGCATTTTTTTTCTAAAAAAGAAAGTGTTTAAAAAATAAGAGCTGGGGAAGCTTAGAGCCCAGAGTTCCTACTTTATTGGCAAGAGTTGTATCTACAGACAGACAGGCAGAATTTTGACCCAGTCACCTAGATGTCTCTCTTTCTCCATCCAAGCTTAAAAAGAGAGTTGAACCACTTGTCTATGGCTAACAGGACAACCAGGATGTTTCTGAGACCATCACCACCAAGAGCTGTGGCTGATGTTACTGATATGGAATTTCAGTTTTCAGCTACAGTGAACATGTATCTTAACGTATTAGATGAAACTACTTGTATCTTTTCACATACATCGGAGTCAAATCACCTTTGACAGTCACTGCTGACTGTCTTAAAGCTAAAAATCAGGCCGTTACAGTCCTCTGTATGTAAAAGTTCAGATAGGCAAGTCCCTAGATAACGATATTAGAGGGCAGAATGAAATCCTCTGAAGCTGCCACATGTTAGGTGTGTGTTCACTTAAACTCACGAAGCTGAGAGAAGAATGCAGATGGAAAACTCAGATGAGCAGAGTGGAAACACAGAATCATTAAGGCTGGAAGGGATCTCAGGAAGTTTCTAGTCCGACTCCTGCAGACGAAGCAGGGTCAACTATAGCAAATTGCTCAGCACTGTGGCCAGTTGCGTTTTCATTATCTCCATGGATAGAAACTCCGTAACCTCTGTAGGCAACCTGCTCCAGTGTTTAATCTCACAGTAAGAAAGTATTTTCTTACGTTTACATTGAATTTCCTGTATTTCAGTTTCTGTCCATTGACTCTCATCCTTTCCCTGGGCACAATGGAGTATGGCTTCATCTTCTTTACCCCATCAGGTGTTTATACACATTGGCAAGATACCTCCTGAGCATTCTCTTCTCCAGTCTGAACATTCCTAGCACTCTCAGCTTCTCCTCATGTGTCAGATGCTCCAAACAGTCATCTGTGTGGCCCTTTGCTGGAATCTCTCCAGTATGTCTTTTCCATACTGAGAAGCCCAGAGCTGGACCCAGCACTCCAGCTGTGGTCTCACCAGGGCTGAGCAGAGGGGAAGGATCACCTCCCTTGACCTGCTGGCAACGCATCCGGAGGATGCTCTTGGCTGCCTTTACTGCAAGGGCATATTGATGGCTCATGTTTAGTTTGGTGTCCACCGGGACCCCCAGGTCCTTTTCTGCACAGCAGCTTTCCAACCAGTCCACAGCGTGTACTGGTACTTGGGATTATTCCTCCACAGGTGCAAGGCTTTGCGTTTCCCTTTTTTTGAACTTCATGAGGTCTCTGTTAGGCCATTTTCCAGCCTGTCAATGTCCCTTTGCATGGCCACACAGCCATTTGATGTATTATTAACTGCTCATCCAAGTTTTGTGTAGTCTGCGAACTGCTGAGGGTGCACTTTGTCCCATCATCTGGGTCATTAATGAAGATGTTAAACAGTAATGGCCCCTGTATCAAGCCCTGCTGGACTCTCTGCTGCTGTTTTATAACCCTTTGAGCCTGATAGTCTAGTCACTTTTCATTGCACCTCACAGTCTACTTACCTGGTCCATATTTCAGCAGTTTACCTATACATATGTTATGTGGGAAGGTGGTTGAAAGCCTTGCTAAAATCGAGATAAACATCATCTGCTCTCCCTTCGTTTGCTGAGCCAGTCATCTCCTTGCAGAAGGCCGTCAGGTCAGTCAGGCATGATTTCCCCTTCATATATCCATGCTGATTTCAGGATTTATTCCATCATCTACTCAGGGACTGAGGTAGCGACTGGCCTGTGGTTCCCTGCATCTTCTTTCTTGAAGACAGGAGTGACATTTAGTTCCTTCCAGTCCTCAGAAACCTCCCCCGACTGCTGTGACCTTTCAAAGATAATCTACCCTTAGTAAACTTTAAAAATAGCATTGGTGCCATTTAAAATTCTGTTTCCTTGCCCTTTTAGAGGTGAAATTAGGTTGCTGTTTCATAGCTGTGAAGTGCTACTTTCCAGATGCTGTCATCAATGAGAAAATAATAATCAGTGTTAAAACAGCAATTTTACACCATTTTGTAGGTTTCTTCAAATAATTTCCATCACTTAACTTTGTTGAATATTGTTCTTCTGCTTATATTGGGGAAAGTGTAGCATGTATTGCAGAAGTTGAAAATGCTTCATAAAACAAAATGCACTTTAAGATAAAATTTTGTTTCTGTAATACAAATATTTTGTCAACTTCATTTTCTATAATCTTTTTATCCTATTTTTTAGCTTGTTTATTTACTTAGACATTAATACACTGATCAGTGAAGGTAGTGTAATGTTTTGTAGGATTTTTCAGAGTGGATGGAATTTCTCTTGCATCTTGTTTTGAGAACTCATTCCGTTGTCTGCAGTTAGTGTCATAAATAGACAGAATTTCATGCTTTGCTGTTATTTTTTCCAGTAAAGCCAATTGTTTAGTTCATTAAGTCCTTAAATATTCTTTCCTGACTTTTTACCTAATATTTGCTGGTGCTGGGGGGAGTTTTGTCTGTGACTAATAAAATAATTGGTTCATGTTCTTCTTACAACATCCTAAAAAATATTTGTGGACTTACTCTGTCTAATCTGAGCCATCATTTACCAGCTGAAACTTGTCTTAATTTTTCTGTGGGATCAGGCTGGTATTGTGAAGCTACTAGCATAGCATTATTGATGCAAATATATTGTTTCAGGTTTTCTTATTTGGTATATAACACATCAATGTTTTTTCAGGGATTGTGTAACAGTAAATGAGCCCTTTTCCCCACTGTTCTTCTTGTTTCCATTTCCATCTTTACAGAGCCAGAATAAAAGCATAATGGATTTTTTTTTTTTTTCAAATCGAAACCAAAACAAACCCAACAAAAAAACCCCAAACCAAAATGTAATCTTAGTGAAAACATCTTCTTACTGCATTGTGGGAATCTGAAAAGTAATGAAATTTGTTACCTTAAGCTAGAAAAAATATGGTAAGACTTCTAATCTGCAAGTAATCCATGTATGTATCTTTGAAGGGCCAGATGCATGGCTTTTGCACTGTTGAACTCGTATTTAAAATGTGCACTGTTATTTAAAATATGTTCTGTTACTCACTATTTCAGTTGTTAAGAAAATTTCCAAAGTGCAATCAAAGGAGATGCAGAGTGTTCTTTAAGTTTGTAGTCAGAATGCATTAAGCCTCTGCAGGTGCTTAGAAAGCAATGACCAAAATCGACTTACTGTAGCTTGACAAGTCACTGTTTGACATTTGAGTGCATGAAACACCCACATACAGACTTCTAGTCTACCTACTTAACAGCAAGTGCCAGGAGAAGACCACTTCAGTTTGCCTGAGAGAAACTGAGGTGAGCCAGGTTGCAACGCCTGGGTTAGCATGGCAAAGAGCATACCTGTAGTTATCGTGACCCAGCTGATACATAATAAATTGATTTGGGTCTCAACCCTGTACTAGTTGCTGGCTTCAGTTTTTGTTCCGTCCGGAAGGACAGCACCAGTGCCAAAGAATCAGAACAGTTTTGCTCTGCTGCTTTTGGACAAGTAGATGAACAGCTATCAAAGTTTCTGTATTAGTAGTGGTAGTGAAGCCTTATCGGTGGCAGGATGTATACTGGTTTGGTAAGCTACTTGGTCTGGATGCTGGGGGACGGAGTAAGTGCATCCAGTCTTAAGATGTAACTGGAAGCTGCTGTTTAAGCGTTCTGAGCTGATGTTCAGAAGCAGTAACACGGTGACAGTAATCCTGGTATTCTGTCTATTCCTGACAGCAAAATAGTGCAAAACTGAGTTGTACAGCGGCTGCTTGAGACATGGGCCTCCTGCTTTTAACTGCAGGCTTCATTTTTTATGGAGTGATAAAGTATTTTGGAACTACAAATAGAAGAAAAATGTTAATTAGTTTTTCCTTTCTGTTTCTTTTAGGACTCCTCCAGGATGGTTTCAAGCAGGTATAAAAGGTATGAAATCTTCGTACACAGCACATTTCTTTACATATATAGTTCTGCCAGAAATAAAGCTGATTAAATGGGTGTTTGTAGTAGAGGCCATCACACTGCTACTGTAGATATATAGCCTGATTTTGAGGTAAGGACCTGAGAGATGCAGCAAACTTATCCAAACCCCTTTATTACGTTACTATTTTAAAATAAACTCGGCTAGTATTTTGCTGGGTCTTAACAGTGCAGAACAGTTTCCCAAGCAAATGTCTAACTTGACTACACATTACCTAGTAGCCTGTAGTTTCACAGTTAATTTATGAACCACCGTCTTCTGAAGTTTAATACAGGAAGATAATTTTGTTGCTCTCCAATAGTGAAAGAAATGTCTATGGTTTTGTCATACTGCTGTCTCAGTTGTAGGGGATGCTACTCACATGTAGCATGTCCTGTTTGTTATTTGTTTGTGTTTGGGCCAAGTGGCACCCTGGCCATTATTCAAGTTCTTTCATCAGAAAAATATTTCAGAAGGTCTTGATGCACCTGACCAGTGTGGGAAATTTTTACCGATGTGGAATTAATATTGACACAGCTATCACAATTATCAGGAAAACGTAATGGTAACATGGGGCCTAAAATACATCAACTGAAGGAAAGCATTTGTGTAAACTTATTTTTATTTGACACATGGAATGTATTCTCTTTTAGATATCCGTTACTCAGGTAAAATGCGTAGGTGGTTAGTTCATCTGTGTATATATATCCTGGCTGTAGAGTAAGTGCAAAGAGCACCTACAATTATCTAGTCTTCACTGGTGTGTTTTCTACCCCTCAGACTTGTTCACCTATGGAATCATAGAATGGTTTGGGTTGGAAGGGACCTCCAAAGATCATCTGGCCCAACCCCCCCGCCGTGGGCAGGGACATCTTTCACTAAATCAGGTTGATCAAAGCCCCACCCAACCTGACCTTGAACACTTCCAATGATGGGGCATCCACAGTTTCTCTGGGCAACCTGTTGCAGTGTCTCACCACCCTCACTGTAAAAAATAATAACCTATCCTGTTATGCTTTAGATTTCTTAGCATGGTGCTGTCTTTTATATTTAGATCCCTGGGTTCTCATAAACCTAGTTGAGTGATGCTCTTTATTGGTGTAGGGTTTTTTTTAAATCCCTTTGTCATTGCAGAATGGGTGGACTTACTGTCACAACCTTAATAACTATATAATTCCGTGATTACTTTCTTACTAATCAAACACATTTTAGTTCAGTCTTCGCTTCCTCTTCAGTCCTTGTGCAGAATTTCATTGCTATTTGTATCTGCCAAATACTTAGTGGTGTCTATCATAGTGCTTTCTGGCTTTTCATAAACCTTATTTTTACTCTGTTCACGTGCTGTTTATCCTCACTCGCTTGCAAAAACTTGGTTGTGTGGGGGGTGATAATAAATAGAAGTTTGCGCAATCACATTTGTAGCTTATTTGAAAATAAGCTAATTTGATTAGCATTGCAAAAATAGGAAACTCCAAAGCTAGAAAATGCTAAAATAAGACTTTTTTGTGCAGTCTTTGTTCAGTCAGCTTTAGTTATATGCAGGATGTACGTTTTTTGTTCGTGAACTTTCCCCCTCAGGACTGGTGTCACATTCAGGAGGAATCTGACTTGCTGTGAGCTGCTGTTCATATTTTTTTATGTACGTTGCCATCTATCTTACTTACTGCATAGTCTTCAAACCTCATGTTGAAAACAAGGGATTATTTTCCTGTGAGGTCAGCACAGTGCCCGGTGCTCACAAATATGAAGAGGGTTTTAGTAGACTAACCTGTACCTACGTGAGGTATACAGTAGCTGATATTTTATAGATAGAGACTCAATGCCCACTGTGATTAGAGTTAACAGTATCTATTGATTTTTCTCTATATTTGAAAATTTCTACCCTCCTCCCAAGTAATTTTTCAAGTAAGAGTACTTGAACAAAGTATGGCTCCCAGTGGCTTCGCTTTCTGGTGTGAACACTAAAGGAAGGAGTTGGGACCAGAGTCCTCTTCTGTTCTGTCAATGTTTGGCTTGTTCACCCTTTCCAACATCTGCGGTAAGGGAAGGTCCTAGAGAAGACAGCCTCCTCTCCAGTAATTCTCATTCACTGTGCTGTAGATCTCACTTATGTCCCAAATACAGCAGAAGTCCTTTGGAAACCGAAAATGCTGTTCTGTGATTACACCTGGTACTGGAATGTGAAGGCTGAATCGAGACCATAAGGTGCTTGAAGGCTCAGATATGTTCAACTTAATGTGCTTTTAACAGTTTTGGGGGTACTCCCTTAGGTTTTCAAAACAAACTGGAAGCAAAGCATGTTCTCACGTAGTGACAACTGCTTTGACTTCCCATGTGAAACTGTTATTTGTGCTACTCTGACAACAGGTGGTCAGTACTTGTGGGTGGGGAAAAGAGACTGTTAGTAAACTTCACAGGCCTATGACAGCAAAAGTGAAAAGATTATGTTTGCCTAAATTCTTGGGCTCTGTTATAGACTCCCCACTCCAGGAAGAATGCATTATTTGTCAGAAATTTTCAGGTCATTTCTCCCCATCTTTACTACTCCTGCTCCTTGTCTTTTCCTTTCTCCCTCTTCCCCAGTTGTTCCTTGTCATAAGTGACATCTCTTCATCTCAGCATTTTTCTTCACTTCACTGGTTTCCATTTCCTAGCCCAGCTAGACACACTTTCCTTTCTCTAGCCCTTTCTCATACATCCTTATGTTTAACCATTGAGGTCCTAGTATTCTCTTTGATATTTCTCTGTCTTTGTTTTTTTCCCTGTCTTGTCTCCGTCCTCTGTCCTCTTCTGACTTCTAGTCCTGGGTTACTGATACCATCCTGGGCTTCCAGTACCTTCCCTTTCCCTTCCCATATAGCTGTTTTCATGTCTGCATTGAGATGCCCAGCCTCTTGGCTTATGGAATTGATATTCTCTCAATATGTTCCAGGGCTCAAGGAATTGCACAGATTTTACTGTCTATTTAATCAGACACACTAGCTACTTTGCCTTATATGGGTGCAGCAATCCATGGTTAAACATTTGTATGACATTGCTGAGAAACCCGTTTCACTGAGTGCCCATTGAGTGGAAGACATGTTTACAAATGAACTCTGCTGGCTGCGGTTGTGTTATTCTACTTCTGTTCTGGCTGACTTGGACAAACTGAGCCTGTCTTCTTATGCAGTAAATACAAGTTTGGGATGAGGATCTTAATCTATGATTATAGTCTCTCTTCTGAATTTACTTTAAAAATTTTCATACTTACACCCCAAAAGTTTCTATAGGGCTTCCTTTGTAGTTGCGTGATTAACCGCATAAAATATTTTCAAAAGAAAGTGATCGTTCTGTTGTGATCTGGAGTGGTACTGTAAGATCTATTAAAAGCATGTCCAGAATCTTCAAAGTCATGTTGATATGAGGGCCACAGGACGTGTTCATGAGTGTATTTGGGTGTTGTGACCAGCCATCTGTTGTGACTGCGAGCTTCACGTGGTTAAAATGTGTAGGTGTCCTTCAGTGATAATAGCCCATATCAACTTCCTCATCTTTCATTTCTCCCTAAGCTTTTCTTTATGTGATGTGCCTGATCTTGGCCATTCCAAACTTCTGTTACTGTTAACTGGGTCTACCAGTTTTTGCGCTGCTCTCTGAGTAGTTATTTTAAAGCAACAAGCACGTTGCCATTAGTGAGAATGGTTTTCTGATTCAGGTCTGATGCTATCAGCATAGTTGGTGTCGTTACTGATTTCTCAGACAAGAGAATGACAAAGTGTATCCTGTTTACATGTAGATTACACTCAAATAGTTCAGTAAACATGAATTACATTGCTCTTGCATTCTGCGAACCGAAAAGTTTGTTTGCAAGTAACAGTAAAGCAAGATATGGATGTGGACATAGGAATATTTTTATATGTACAGAGAATTTTAGCAGCTCATTTTTAAGACCGTCTACTAGCTTCTGAACCTATTTAGCTTATTTTTTAGAAATGTCTTAAATTGAAAAGAAAACCTTGCAAATCAGGATTTAAAATAACTCAGAAGATTTTTGCATGGTTCATGGATCAGACAGAACAGGGTCGATCAGTTTACAGAAAGAGTTAGATTAAAATCTCTTAGTGGTTCAGGGGTGTGTCCTGCTCATAAGTTTCTTTATTAGTGGAAATGAATACAATATGGTATGGCTTTATGGCTTCCAGACAAAATGTCAGAGGAGTATTTTTTCCCCCTCTTTTAGGATAGTACGGCACACCAACATGGAACCCAACAGGCAGAGACCCTTGCCCACTAGTTCTAAAAGACCACGCTGTACTTGATTTTAACATTCATGCAAGAGCTGAAAAATAAATGAGGAAGAAAAGATCACAAGAAGAGAAGCAGCTAGTGCTTCAGAGCACTCATTGGAAGTGCTGTGAAGGAAATGTTAAAGCCCTGCTGAAATTCTCATGCTCTGTGTTTTTAGATTACTACAAAGCTTCAACTGTAACAATTTACATTCCATCATATTAAACTTGGACTCACTAATTCAAAAAAATACAGCTGCAAAATACTATTTCATAACACTATGCCCAGACTTGCCTACTCGCCTGTGTTTAGGAGTTTTACAGCGAGGGCTGGCTCTTGAAGTACTGTCTCATCTAGCCTGTTACATTAGGACCACTACTGTGGTGGATATGAACACTTAAAATAGACAGGGGTCACTCACGGTGCTTTTCTTGACTTTGGTTTCCCCTTTTCAGCCAATGCTGATGTTATGAGGAGACAGAAACACTTGAGGTTTATTTCTGCAGAAGTTTTTGATGGTCTAAGTTGAGCTGGCTGCAGCTCATGCAGTCCAGTGCTCATGCAACTGGACAGGGTGATGCTTCAGGGAGCCACTGCAGCTGAAAGTTGATGGCTTTCTTTGCTGGGCTGCTGGATTGCTACATCAGCCTCTTGAATGGTTTTGTCCACAAGTCACCTGGAGGCCAGAGCTAGGAAAAGTGGAGGAGGCTAGGAGCGTACAGCTGTAGAGAAGACAAGACTGCCTTTCCTTAGCTCAGCTCTGAAAGCCATGGACTTGGCTTAAGCAGTCCGAAGTAACAGAAGTTCAAGGTGGCCTATTTAGAAATATTGTCTTTTGCTCATTCTTCCAAAGCAGCTGTTAACAACTGACTTTTATTTCAGTGACATAATTAGGAGTTTCCAAATCAAGTATAGTTACAAGATTCTGGCAATGAAAATAAATGTGTTGTAGTTGAAATCAATGAAATCTGTTTTTGACTGGGTGACTTCAATTGGATGAAATTGCAATTTGGACAGTGCTTCAGGAAAACACTGAAAGAACCAAAGAGGCATGGGAAGGAGCAAGATTTATTCCACCTTTCTGTAATATTGCTGTTAAACCTGCCCCTTTGTGAATAACTGATTTTATATTAAAGGAAATTGCTAGAACATCATTCTGAAGCAAAATTTTTGTTTCTGTGTAAGAGTAGTCAAACTGCGATGTAGGTTGATTTCGCTATATGATTTTTATTTACGTACAGCCAGAAGAAACTTTCAAAAGCAAGTCTTCTTAAGTTGCAAAAGTGTTTTCTGTTTTCAGCATTCTAGTACAGGAATACACATGTAAAATGAGGTTTCGGTAGTGGCTAATTGAAAGTAAGCTGATGGAACAACAAGTTGAATTTTGTTAAACGTCTTGTCGAACATGCCCTTTTGAAGCAGCAGTGAGGGATGTTTCTATCCAGATGCATTCTCATTTGCTACTCTCTGGGTGGGCACTCTAATCTTGTGTACATATGGCTACAAATACGGTCTCAGACACTCTTCTTGAAAAATAATTTTAAAAATACTGTTTCCTGCAGCCATAGCCTGTGGCTAAATGTTTCAACTGCAAGTGTTGAAACAGTCATGTGCATAAGTTACCTGAATGCCAAAAAGTGGAATACGTTTTGAATTGCGTTCTTGAGCAGTGAGTCAAAATTTTTTCAATTTGCCAGACCCCTATCGTGTTTTTTTTGGTTTTTTTTTGTTTTTGGTTTTTTTTGTTTTCTGGTGCTAATGACCACTTTTACCCAATGTACATCTACTGACAATAGGCTTTCTTTTCTTTCATACCTTTTGTGATATTCCAGCAACTTCCAAGTTGCAAGCATTTGTAAACCTTTATTCGGTTAGAAAGCGAAGGAAGCAAGATTTCAGTTGCAGTCTCAAACTAAATGGGGTTCTGCTGTCACATGCATGCACTTTCCCCCCTTCCCGCAAAAGAAGGCATAAACCCAATTTGTTTTCTTAGTAGTATATAAAGCTCTTCAGTTTGGACAGATTGTCATCAGTAGTAGTAGTATTGTTGTCATATATTTATAATTATAAAATAGATTTTATATATATATATATATATATAAAATATACATGTTTATTTTCATAGAGATATCTTTTGTTGGGGCTGGTTGATAGGTATTTTCTCTTAGTAAAGCATAGACACCAAGATCAGTGATGATGTTATTCTAAATAAGTTTTCTTTATTGTCTAAGCCTTACAAAGTGACATTGTATCTGAAGACTAAAATTCCATGCTGTATGAAAGATATGTCTACCATGTCTTGGACGGTACCTTTTTTGCTGTTGCTATGTACTGGGCATTGGTTATAACAGCCAAAATAATGAACTTTGTATCTGTCACGTTCCTTGTGTTAGGTTACAGGTCTAATGCCTCCTTAAATGTTTTCTTAAATCCCATTTCCTAGAAATCTTCATGATATGTCCTTTGTACTTGCTGGTACTGAAAAGGAATGTGTTCAGTAGGATCTGCTTCCCAGTGGAATAGATGAGGAAATTTTTGAGTGTGAGTTTCAGGGAAAATACAGAAAATGTCTTAATTTTCAGTATTAATGAAGCCCTCCCTGTCTAGGTATTCTTTCTTCTAACTTTCCTGTAGGAGCATCTGCCAGTATCACTGACTGGGGCTGAAATGAGGTACTCCAGTATATTGGCAAAAGGCTTCCTTTTTCAGTGATGAAAAATTGAGCCTTTTTTGTGTGGTCTATCCTCGTGACATTAACAGCACGAAACAACACATCTTTCGGAAAGCCAAATAACCTAGAATTTATAGAGTTAAGCTAAAATATTTCCCTTATGTTGTGTTGCAACATGCGTATCCGGTCCTAGAAATGTTTTAAAAAAAATTCTTCTAGATGAAGAATAAACAGTGCTAAATATGGTAATAACATTAAGCTACAAAATTCCTTACAATTGTGTCAGTGTGCCTTGGAAGCTTCACACGTATTGGAGCAAAACAGTATTTATATCCATGAAAAGACATCCCTTTGCCAGATAGTCCTGCTTCTGATTTGCACTGTATCCATCTAGACTTGCGCATTATCAGCAGGGGTTTTCTAGAGTTATGAAATACAAAACTGTTAAATGAACACATTAATCATGTATGCTTCTATTTTTTAAAGGAAATGTAGGGGTACTCATAGTGCTTTTCATTGTTTTCCTAAGTGCTCTAGAAAACCATTAGATGCGTATTTCAGCCATGTGATTTCACAGCATCACAGACTGGTTGAGGTTGGAAGGGACCTCTGGAGGGCATCTTGTCCAACCCCCCTGCTCAAGCAAGGCCACCTAGAGCCGGTTGCCTGGGACAATGTCCAGATGCCTTTTGAGTGTCTACATTTGAGTTCTCCTTCTGAAGATGGAACAAGGGTGTTTTTTTTTTTTTTTCTCTTTGGCTGTTTAGCTGTGTATTTTCAAAGTCAAAGAAGTGTGGTTTTGGTGGATTGGGGGAGTGAAAGATCTGTATCTCTCTGCTTGGTCCCAGAGTACTCTGTTCTGCTGCTTTTAATTATTCATTAAATTCTGCATTGAAGGTGAATAACATTGCTGTTAGGAAGAAAATGGCTATGGGAAGAACACTGTTAAATTTGTGACTTTGAAAATGCTTGACTTGTAATATGTATATTTTTAAAATAACACTGGGTTTGTACATAGCAATCACAATGGAGAACCCATAAGCTTTTTTAAAACTAGCTTACGTGCATTTGCAGTGCTTATCTGTTAAGATTCCATTGCAGTGATTTTTAATGAATAGACACATGATCTAAAGCAAAATACATGTCACCAGTTAATGAATGAGTGCCTACCAACTGAGCTATGACAAACTGCTGTGTGTCCAAGTTCTGAAGTAAAATATTTGGAAGTGGCATAAAATTAATGTGTTGGGCCACATCACTTTCCCTCTTTGGTTTGCTTTCCAGTTCCTTACAGGCCATATCCATAGTTTCTGAAAAGTCAGTTGATATGTGTAAGCTTCTTACGTTTCAGCCATGTAATTGTTTTTCATCCTTTATGTTTTCATTTACTTAAGATGCTTGGTTTAAACTCCGTAGTGGTACTTTACTTTTTAAAATAAAGTTGTTTAGCTTGGTTTTTAATGTGCACAGTTCATAAAACTTTTAAATCTTTAAAAATAAGATAGGATAAGCATGAGTATGTGTTTAAAGTTGATTACCTATGTGATGAGAGCTGCATTATCCAAGTATTTGACTCCCTGAGGCAGTGAATTCAGTGAGTTCTCAGCAACACAAGAGCTGTGAAATAAGTTCTCTGCAGTTTTAGACTGACCTATTCAGTGCTTTGGAAAGCACTTCTTGTTTCTTCCGTCATTTCCATTTTGTTAAATGTATAAATAGGTGTCCGCTTTGCTCTTTGCCTTTGTAGCACAGCTAATGCACCAGAAGACGATGGTCCAAATAGATATTCCCGAACGGACAGGACAGCTTACAGCAGATACAGCAGGGATGCAAATTCTTCTGGCAGTTCTGTACCAAGTAACACTTTGGAAAAGAGGATTGAGGAACTTGAAAGGGTAAGTACCAACTAACATCTGCATGGCATACATCGAAGTAAAGTACTTTTGAAACTCCATGGGGAAATTTACAAGTAAAATATATAGAAATTATGCTAAATGCTTGAAGTATAGATAGTTATGTCTATAAAAATGTGTAAAGAGGCAGACTGACTGAGAAGAATGTGAACTTCCTAATCACAATGTTTAGTTTTCATTTGGTATGTAAGTGAGAAATAGTTGAGGTAAAGATCATACACTTAGAAGAGCCAACAGTGCTCTGTGTCTTTCTCATACGTACCTTGTGACGCACCAACACAGGGCAAATAACCTGGGGGAAGGAGGGGCTCACTGACTGTTCAGAAAATTAGCAAGCCTGCTTCTGATCTACTTCTTGTTTTGGATTTTTTTTAATGTACTGAAATATAAAATTTAATTGCTATCCAGTTTGTTAAAGTTTTCATGATTTCAGGCATTCTTCATACAAACCATTTTGGGAAAATGTAATTATGTTAAAGCTGAGATTTTCACCTAAAACAATATTTTGCTAAATAATGTCATCTGTGTAATCTATTACTGGCTTCTCTGTCTTCCTCTGAAGTGGATTTCTGTGGGTAACTTGCCAAATATTCTTGAATTTGTATGGATGAAAGTTACTAAGTAAACACAATTTGAATAGATCTTTTTTGGAAAGGATGAAAATAAAGTGTATTTTGTAGAAATTACCTTTTTTTTTTTTTTTTTTTTTTAAAGACTTGGGAAAGCCTGATTTGAGTGAAGTACACCATGATCCTCCCTTCCAAATCAGCTTCCTTCTGAAATAATTGAACTGCCAGTAACACAGAAAATAGAGGACTATTTAAGGGCTTTCTTTCAGTATCCTGAACCCTGATTTACTGAATTCCTAATGGGCATTTTCATTTTTTGTCACACTCAGGCCCACAGATCTACCAGTGAGTCTTCATTCCTTGTTAATGGTAGTATAAACCTCCCTCCCAAACAAAAAACAAACAAAACAATAAAAAAAAAAAGGAATACTCCTCCCAATGTAACAAATTTGGAAGCTGATGCTTTACATTTATTTACTTCTCTTTTGGGCCCCTATCCAATGTTGGGTTCATGCTTAAGTTAAATATTAATTAAAACATTATCTCTGGAATCAGAGATCTCACACAGGTTTGCTGTGGGTAAAATATTTTCTTAGATGTGATTCTTTAGCTCCTTGAAATGTAAGGGGTTGAAGACGTGGGTTTGACTTGCTGTAGAAAAGGAATTATGGGTAAGTGTGTGTGTGTTTTTCTTCTTTGTTGGTGTGTTTTAAATCATAATAATGTAGAACTGTCTCTTAAAACCAAAAATTACATTTCAGACTTGTTTGCATATTCTGGTTTTAGGAACTTGCAAAGGAGAGACAGGAAAATGCAAGATTAATGAAGATGACGCAGGACAAAGAGGAACTAATTGGAAAGCTGAAGGAAGAAATTGATTTATTAAACAGAGTAAGCACATACTTTCTTATATAGTGCTATATAAAGAGGAGATAAAACTCTCTGCATTCTTTGTGCTCTTCTTCAGGCACCTATGTCCACTGGGCAAGGTCAGAAGAGAATGAAGTGAAGGGGCTTTTTTGGTATTTGTGTGACTTTTCAAGAGGCATGTCAATAAGTTACATTTTTTTCAGGTGACTTCTGTTTGTCATGATTAACTTCCATAAATTGTGTGTTATTGGAGTACCTGAATTTCTTGTTGCTATAAGTGTTCATAGAACAAGGTTATAAAAGCAAGTGCTCTTTACTGCCTCTTCTTTCCAAATTCAGTACGTAGCATGCTAGGAAATAATTAAGTTGGGGTTTTCAGAGTTTTATCAATAAATTGTTACCCAGGACTTTTATTAGACAAAGCAATTATAAATTTAATTTCATTTTAGCCATCTTTTAATTACTAATAATAGTTTAGATGATCTTACTCCCAAATCTTTCAAAGTGCTTTATATTCTGACACACATTCTCATACTCTTTATTGTTGATCCCCAAGTAAAGGCAGAACGAGATGAGGGGGCAGGAGACTTGGGCTAGCATCACTCAGGCAAGGTGTGTAGGCAGGAGAAGAGGGGGTAGAAGAGTAAGACATGGTTGGGAGTGGGACAGGATGAGAAGTTTTAAAGTTGATAGAAGATACCAATTTTAACAAGTCCCAGTTTTAAGGGCAGACTGGAACTCTTTCATAGGATGGTTTAGTGACCTCATCTTGAACTTTGTGGCTGAGGAAGGTGCAGAGCCTGGATGTATTAGGGAAATATGCTTCTATTGGTCCAGTGCAGACATTCCCATAAAAATTCAGAAAAAAATTTCAGAACTGGCTTTGGTCAATCCAGCAGTGAAGGGAGGCAATAACTCTATGTGCACAGTGGCAAGCTTTCATTTTGCACTATTTGTAGCAAAGGAGGACAACAAAAGTTTACAAACTAATCTAGAGGACTAAAGTAGCAGAGGTTATTCTGAAACAGATCTCTCTTTCTTTTTTTATAAAGAAAGTTGGAAGTTAATTAGTAGGATAAATGAAGTATTGTCTGTTTTGGAGAGATTTCTATTTTAATTGAAGAATTGGTCTTTATGTTGTCCTTCCATTCTGCAAAGAATGTCACATCTAAGCTGATGACCTTATTACAGTCAAGGCAAGTGTTCATTCCTTCTACATAATGGATGGCAAAACTACTTATTACTGCTGGTCACACCTGACTTCCTGACTCAGAGGTCAGAAAGAACAAATCAAAAGACCCTAAATCACTGAAAGCTTGTGTTTTAGGACCATGACTGCTTGCAAGATTTCCTGTTCCAGAAACAATGTTATTTTTTTTTCTGCTATATTTGAAATATGATGTCCTAAATTAAATCCATTGAGTGTCTGACTAGAAACCACATTTAAACGTTTGCAGTGAAGTCAAGCAGTGCCTGTACCTTGCCTGTGTTGAAGTATGATGGCAATTTCTGCTTGTTGTGAGGAAAGAAAATATAAAACAGAATAAAGTCCTTCCAAAAACCTATTACAAAATGACTAAAATTGTACTGTTCCATGAGATATACAAAGCCACCTTATTGGTGCTCCTTAAGTAGCCTCTCTCAAATGCAGAAGAGAATGTTTTCTTATTTTTTTCCTCCATCAGGTCAGCATTTATCATAGCTATAACATTGTCTGTTAGCTTAATTGCAGTGCAAGTTATTTATGTTTGCATCTCTTGGGGTTTTCTTAACAATGAAATAGCTGCCTTTTGACTTTATGACCAGCTTAATAATTTATCATTTTACAAAAGGTTGAACCCATGTCTCCAGTGATGCTTCCATTAAGACAGATGCAGTTTTACTTTCTTTTTTAATGGCTCTTGGATTTATGACTGCTTCTATATTGGCTACTGGATTTTTAAAAGAGGAAAGCTTTAGAATATTAAGAAAAGCTACAGAAATACTGCATCGTTCCCATGATAGAAAGTTATGGAAATAAACAGTGCAGTCGTATTTGCCTAAGGTTTATTATCATAACTGAGATCACGAGAGCCAGCACTCTGTTCTTCATGGAATGTTACTCTGTGGATGCGGCGCCAGGATTGGGTGCGTTGCATGGAAGAACAGTTGTGATCTTCAGCCTTCTGCTCAGATAAAAGGACGTCCTGAGGACTAAACTTTACTTAGTGGGTTTATGCAGAGATCTCTTTAAAAGGTTTTGCTGGTAGGTAACCTCAATAGGGATCTTTAAATTTGACTATCTATACATTCATGATATTTCTCCATCTTTTCTATTAATCAACATGTGTAGTTATTGCACGTTAGGTTGCACAGACATGGAAAGAATTTCAAGTCGGAGCCAAAATAACTTTTTAAAATGCCATTTTATTGCATAGCTTTCTGACTGCTCAGCCCTCATATTTAAAGAAATGCTCTTTCTAGAAGTTTCAGTCAGTTCATAACCATGGGTGCATCCTTCATTGGCGAAGATCTTGTGTTACACTTGAAAAACTGTTTTTCCAAGAATCCTGAAAACTTCTTGGCAGTCTTTTTCTCATTTCAAGTAAATATATTTATTTAATGTAACAATATAATTTTACGGAGGTCAGTCCGTACATCACAAAGATACTTAAATAACATGAGCTGCATTTATACTGAGAAACAGAAAAGGCTTTCTGCCATAAATGGCATTCTTTCACTCCAGTACATTAGCCACTAAAAGTATGTCTGCCACGTTTTTTGTAAGAAAGGGGTAATTGCTTCATAAAAACCTCAAATGTCTGGAGGGAAAGGCATCTCAAGATATTTAAATATTTGTAGGTTAAGTTCAACTGTTGAGTAGTTTACATTTGGTCATCTCTGGCCTCACTAAGACGTCACTGTAGTTAGACGTGTGTTTGGAGAGAGTCTGTCAGTGAGGATTTACAATCCAATTAGTGTCAGTTGTGTAGTTATCGGTGCCTTTGGTATGTGAAGTCCAAGCTTTCCTGCTGTATCATCCTTTTTACTAATAAGCATACATTAGTGTTGTAATTTTGAATACGAAACTTTAAATTTCAGAGTGGCAAAACCCACCTGCCTCTCTTGGTTGTTTCTGTAGCTATTTAAATGGCAATAATTATTTTTCCTGGCTCATATTCAAGAAATTCTTACTTGTAGTTATCTTCGGAATGTTATTTTTGCAGCATAAATATTTCACAAACTTTTGTTATTTTATTTTGTATAAATTACAGGTATTTTAAACAGAAGATTTTTAGGTAAGCTTTAATTGAGGCATCTGATGTCTAGGTTAACAACAAATTCAAACACAGTATAATATATATTGAACTAAAAAATATATAATTTTATTGTAAAAGTGTTGTCCCTTCTATCTGATTATTGATCTGAACTGCACAAGAGAGAAAACAAAGTGTGTTTCTTGCAATTACATAGTAAACCGTATTTATAGTAGCTATCCATCAAAATGTTCCATGTTTAGATGTTTAAGTCACTTGTGTCTGTTATGTTGGAGTGGTCAAACGCTGTTCCTGGAGGTCATTCATACTGTGATGCAGCATTACTTCTGTGAGGCAAAGAGGAATTTCTGCTGGTAATTTCTTGATTCCACATTACAAAAACAATAAAGTAATTGCAAAGGTATTTTGGTATGGATTTTGGCTTGGCAAACTGAAGAGGCTTTTAGAAATCATGATACCAATTAAACACAACATCTCTAGTATGCCCTTCTGGAATGACCCTACTAAAAAGAAATAAGAAAACGGGCTCCGTATGTCAAACACTACTTAACAACTTAAAGGAACAAGAGAGAGAGAATTTTTTCTCTACTACTGTTTTATGTTTAATCTAGCATGGCAGCAGTAGGGTTTTGCAGGCTTCAGTCAAAAGGTATCTCAGATCTCTAATAAGAATCCTGGTTCTTTCTCCTTGGCCTGCCTTTCATTTTCCTCCTTAAAGTGCTGTCCTTGAGGTCACTCTTCTGTTTCTTCATTTTTTTGTTCTCATTCTGTTTCTTCCATGTTTTTTTTTGTACAGGAAAATTATTTTTACTGAAGTAATGCTTATATTAAACAGACACGTTCACTGGTTTTCACTTTAAAGGCTTGAAAAGACTTGGTAGGAAGGGAGGAAGTGAAATGGGAACTGGGTAAATATGGTAACTGATGGAAGAGCGATGAACATTTCGGGTGGGAGCAATCTGTTTTACACACCCATTATTACTGTGTATGCTGTCTGTTCTTTCAATAGCTGTTCAGATGGAAGTTACAAAACGCCTTTTAATTTTTTTTTTTCCCGGAAAATGGAAAAAAAGAAAATGGGCAGGCAGTACTTTTTCTGAAGATTTTGATAGGTAATTTAAAACACAAAGCAGGTCGTCTTGCAGTAATAACCAGTGATGTGTATATGTGAGCAGGATAGTTACAGACAAGCACAGTCTGAGGAGCAGAGGCAATAGTTGACTAATACATTCTCTGTGTATGCCAATAAAATAATCATGCCCATCCTATTTTGGTTTCTGGATGCAATCCTGCTGTAGCTTTAGTTTCGATTACATGTTTCCATTTAAAGGTGCTTGTATGTGGGAATATAATATTAATGTTTTGTAATTACAGTAACACTTGGAAAAAGGCCAATTTAACAGATTTAAGGGTAATTCTTCCCAACCCTAACTTCTCAATTTCAGAGCTAAGGTGCTAAATTCCTGCTACTACTAATTGAGAGTTTGTATTTATGTCCTGAGAAATGTGTTGGGTTTTATTTTTTTTTCCTTTCATAGGACCTAGATGATATAGAAGATGAAAATGAACAATTGAAGCAAGAAAATAAAACCCTCTTAAAAGTTGTTGGACAGCTGACAAGGTAGAAGATTCAAGCCTCAGTGAGGAAAGATTTGAAAACTACTGATTGAACATTAAGGTCAATATAGTAATACTTCCTGTGTTGCAGTATGTTATAATAACTGTCTTTATATTTATTGTTAGGAAACCAGATGAATGTTTATTTTCATAGTACTTTCTTCTTCACTCAATGAAATGGCATCAAATTTGGGGTATATTTTTAGCTTTCTTTTCACATAACAATAATTAAATTTTTTTACATATTTCAGAAAATTAAGTTCAAAAATATTTGGGTTTTGTGTCTTCAGATTACATCTGGATAAATTACAGTAATTTAAAATTCATAGCACCAAGATCACTTTCAGTCCATGTGGGTGTATATTTTTGAAATGAATGGAAGCAATACATATAAGTTTTGTTTACACAGATCCAAAATATATATTTTGGGAAATATTTCCTTTTTTGTTTAAACAGCTGTAACGTGGATGCCTTATTACTGATGTATAACATTTTTCAGATTGATTACTTGCTCTACAACTCTTGTATGTTGAGGTTTTTTACTGTATCTGAAAGACTGACAGTAGTAGAGAGTAGCAATTTTTTTTCTGTATAACAGTATTCTGGCAGGAGGAGGAGGTTTTATTAAAGAAAAACAAACAAAAAAAAACCCAAAAAAACCCCCAAAAACCCAAAAAAACCACACCAACAAAACCAAAACACAATAAATCACCTGTGGTATCAGCATTAATGAGTTCTTAGAATAGTATTGAAGTTGTGCACTGCAGTTTATTTTAAAGCTTTTGCTTTAGCAATGAAATGCAAGTTTGCTATCAGACAGTAAGTTTGTTTGCTGTGTTGAGAATTCAGACAAAGGCTGGAGCTTTCATTTTAGCAAAGACACTTCTGCAATACTCTTCTACTTAAAGCTGTCATCTTAAAATTTGTAGTGATCATAACACTTTTGATGTTTTTGATGTTTTCATTTTTTAAGCTGGGTGAAAATTTTTGTATATAACAAAGTAGAGAGGCATACAAGTGATTCATGCCCTTTTGAAACATCAAATGGTTTTAAAAAAACTTTTATCCTTGATTTTCAACTAGCAAGTTGTTTAACAAGTGCCTGTTTAGATGTTACAATCCAGTTATGACTGCGTACTGATTCTTCTATAACATGATAGTAGTAGACAAAATTTTCATTTGACATTAACCACAGACCTCAGTTAACAATTCTCTTCTTAAAATTCTTGTTAGGCTGAAATTTGATGTACTTTATTTCATCTTAACACAGCACATTTTTCATTCCTGATGAGAATAAATGTATATGTCATTTGAGTCAGGACACTAGAAATTAAAACATTTTGAAAACATTTGTCCAGGCTTTCCCTTGACAATTTTGAAGTTTGGTGTCAGAAAGTTGCATGCATATAGTTTTTGTTACGTTAAAACTTAAAGGCAACTTTAATATATAATAACGATCACCTTTTCAGATTTGACAGTTGTTTTCATAACGTGTATTTAATGACTGTAAGAGTTTCTTAAATTTCAAATCTAGGTATTATTGTTATGCCTTGGATTGTTTTGGACATAGGATAGGTTATTTTGCATTTGTGTATTCTAATGAGGAGGAACTTTTCCAAGCTTTAAAGTATTTTTCAAGACACTTGTATTCCAGGATGCCTTGATGTTTTCCTTCACAGTGGATGAGATCCTATGGGATGCCATTTAATACCTTCACTCAGGGCTTTAAATGGTATGGGGGGGTTGTATAAGCTCTCTGAACTACGATATACACCAATGAATATTGCTTTTAATATTATTCAAACAGTACGAAGTCCCTTAATTTATCAGTTTAATGAAATCAAAAATTTAATAAAAAAACCACTTGAAATGTATGCCTTCTGAATAAATATGAAACTTTCTCTGGAAGAACATCTGATTTCCTTCTCTGTGTACTAGGTAGGAAATACACATACCGATTTATGGCATGGGATGTCAAACATACTGAAGCATCACTAAGGAGTTAATGCAGAACACACAGATATTAATACGAAATTATAAATGAGACATTTCATGAACTGTATTTCACATTCATTTTAAACCAAAGAACAATGACAGCAAAGAACATAAGCAAGAATTACTTGTCATGTTACCTCTTCTTGGTTTACGTGTGTATTGACTAAAACTTAGCAGCAGAACCCCCAAAATTAGGATTTCTTTTTTAACCTGGACATCTAGCTGACAGGAATATTTGGCAGAAGTACTTCTGATACCCTCGCTTGAGCAGGTACTGACAAGGGAAGTTTCCAAATATTTGAAGCGAGTAATGCTTCAGGTACAACATGTGAACAAAGGAAGCGTTGGGAACTCACAGATAAAGTACCTCATGACATTATTGTTGTTGTGTATTGTTACAGAAAACTCTTAATGGTTTTAAAATTTCCCACAAATTGTATCTTGAAGCATAACACTTCTGACATTCTGGAAGATTTAGATGGCTTTTTGGAAAAAGTATGTCAATAACAATTCATTATCACTTTTACATTATCAGGCTCTTGGGAGAAGTTTAGTAGACTCTAGGAAGAAAGATGTATTATGTAGAATGTTAATAATCATCTAGTCATTACTTGCCGTTATCTTTTTATTTCGGTAGGGTACCCTTATAGTCAAGCTTAAACATAGCATAAGGTTTTGTCCTAGGTGATTTGAAGGTGTTAAATTAGCTACCTTACTAGCAATCCACTAACCCATGTCCATGTCCTGACCAGTCCAACACCTTAATCGTTTTCAGTTGTGTGATTTAAAAGCAGAGACACTGCTGTAAGTGGGAACCCACCTCACTTGGGAAGGCTCTGTGATTCTGAATGAATCTGGGTATTAACATACCTAGGCTAAATTAATTTACTAGGGCTGGGGGGGGTGTGTGTGTTAGTATGCAATATTAACTGTATGGGTAAGTCTCTTGGAGATTTCTGAACTTTCATGTATTGAAATTCATACCAAACCACTTAAGTCCAGCATCTGTGTTTCTGGGTAACTTGGGTCATCTAGGAAATCTAAACAGAAAAGTATGCCCATTGACTAAAGCAAATAAGACAGTTTTTTTCAAGATACTTTAATAATGAACAGCACATAATTCCTATTTTGATAATGCAGAGTGATGCTCCTGTTACAGTCACATACTGTTGTATAGAAAACAGATCCAGAGCTGAAGGTTAAAGTTGTGCAGAAATATTTTTTTATCATTGATAACAGGCAATAATACTTGCTGGATTTAGGCCCTAAAGAGGAAGTTCAACCATATATAAATGCTGGTGATTTTTACCAGGAAATTAAAAATGGGTCATTTTTCATTTTTTAAATAATTAAATGGCCATGTTTAAGTTCAGTGTTACCTGATGTATATATTAACTGAAAGAGTACAGTCTGTATTTGCAAAAGAGTGGTTTTTATGTCTTGAAAGCAAAATTTTTCTTTGTTAATGACCAGATTTGTATTTACACATTTGGAGTTTAATTATTTCTGTGTTACATTGGCTCTGAATTTGAGAGGTAGAGTGAGAAAAGAGGGTAACAAGAAACAAATCTGACTTCCAAAGGAGGAAGTATAAGGTAATCGGGTTTTTTGTTTTGTTTTTTATTTAGCTGTACTGAGATTAGCTGTGGAAAGATTTGTGATTGGCATAAGCACTACAAAAGATATAGAGGGTTTAGTATGTTGGTAACAACTGATAAACGTACATCAAAGCTCTTTTCAACTTGTCTGGTATCATTACAGCTTGGAAACTTGCTACCATAAGAGAGACCAAAAGGAATACTGGAGATCAAATGACTTTTTAGCATTTTGCTAGGAGAGCAGAGTTGCACTGACTCCATTTTATGGTTTTCTGTAAGTTCTTTGTGGCTATTTCCAGCTTGAATTGAAACAAATCAGTATTAGTAGCCAAGAGGAAAGCTAATTATTGGGAAACAAATACATGAGTAATAACTATGGACACCATTAACAAATGACTGAGTGTCAGTATTTCTTGGGCTCAGACCCTTTGTGAAGATGTCAGTTGAGTTGGTCCATTTGTATCAGTATTAATGATCATAAATATCTGACATCTTTAATAAGAAACAACTATTTTAGTTGGAGAAATTACCATTGCAAGCCATGACTTAAAAACTTAGTATGATAAAAAAAATTCATGCTGGTACCTGTAGCTGCTGAGACTAAGGAGCTAAGGATTATACTTGGAAGTTTTGTTAAAAATGACACAAATTAATTCTGGATCTTGCCGTTTAATTTGATACAGAAGTACACTACAGATCTGTTCCAAGCCAGTCATTCCGATATCAATACCTGCAAAAAGTGTTGACATGAGCATTTCTAGAAGCATTTCTAGTTCTCTTATTAAGCATTTCTTTGGGACTACTTAAGTATATCTAGGACAAAAAGGACTGATATGTATTTTAGTAGCGTTCATGTTCTTCCAAGTTTGTTGACTTGCTGTAGCAAATCTCCGTCTACCATTTCTCCTTGTACTGTAGCACATATACATTACCTTGTTAATTTAATCCTTTTGCGTTTATTTCTAGATTTCTGGTGTAACTGTTCTTGTTCAGGGCTAGTTGTGATTTTTCTGTTCTGGAAAAATTGTGATGGTTGAGTTGTCCTCTGAAAATAGTCTTATAATCATAATGCAGAGCCATTTTTTTAAATTATCCATTTTATGAATTTAAAAAGTTGAAGCATCATTAAGCTATAAATAACTAAATACCCATTTTAATTTTGAACACTGACTAGTTGTGATATTATCTGTGATATCAGATTAAAAATGATGTTGAGATTCTTACTATTTCAGGTAAAAGATACGTGTTTAATCTAACAATAAAGACTGTGTGCCTTTGTCCAAATAAAACTAAATTCTTTTTAATCCAGGCTGACTACTTACTGTGTTTAAAGGAGAATTAATATTGTCTGACTAAAATTCTAACTGGATTTGTCACCCATACTGGCAGGCTCCCAACCTGAACAGTTAGAAATATTTTTACATTCAGATTCAGTTCTTCAAGTGTGTATGTGTTTGCACACACACAAAAGAAATCTGCGTATTTCCACTGTACTAATTTTCTGCTTTGGGAAGGTAGTGAGTATCCTTCCATCAATTAGATAGAAATGACCTTTTCCTGTACTACTTCAGAGTTGAAGTATAGCCCGTCCCAGGAAGAGGTAATGAACGATGTTACAGTGCTACTTCTACATAAATGAAGTGAATTGACTTCACAATAGATTTAATTTCTGAAATTTCTGTATGGATACGTGTTCTCTTCTCCTGCATAGGCAGAATCATTAAAGACAACCTCCTTTTCATTCAGTGTTGCATACTACACGTAAAGAGAACAAGTGGATGATCAGTAAACGCCAGGGAGGTAATAACTATATCACAGTTTATCATGAAGTTTGTAATGTTGTTTTAAAAAACAACTTGAAACATAAATACCATAAGAAACCATGCATTCAACACCAGGGTTGCTTTATGGAAGAAGACATTATGAGCATTTGCACTTAGTAAGTTTTAAAATGTTTGGTGAATTCAGTTTAGGATTATTACTCCTACAGTTGACTTCCTTTATTGAGAGCCCAGCAGCCTTCGGATTTT